ATCGGGCTGGATTACCCTGAGCCCACAGCATGAGTCTGACTTGCCTTGCTGGCCCAAAGCTCATGTCTGGATTGCTCATGAGCCTACAACATAAGTCTGGCTTGCCCATCCGGCCCACAACTTATGTTTGACTTGCTCCGAAGTTTGTTGGCTTCCGCACAAAGCAGCATTGCCTCAACCCAAACCATACTATATCGACATATGCAACTGATAAACATATAACCAACAAACAGATAATCATAAAGATCTAACAAATCATTACAGCATAGCAACATCCTATATATTAGGATACATAATGTAGTGGGTCGGTATTGGTGCCTTCGAACCACAAGTACAGTGAGGAAACTTACCTCACAGTCTGAAAGGTAGCAGAAATGAGCGCTGCTCCAAATGCCAACTCTACATGTCACATATACAACAAACAGTGACCTAATCTCAATCTACAACTCAAAATACCCAAAATGCCCCCAAGACAAACTTGGTCAAACCCTTGGTCAAAGGTTAAAGTCAGAAAGTCAAAAGTCAAGGGAAATCAAAGTAGGCTGAGTACGCCCCGCGTACTCAGTTACTACGCTGGACGTAGTCGCAATCCTTCCAAACCACGGGGCCTCAGCCCAATACATGCAGCGTACCTCTTGGTATGCTCATCGTACTCTGTCTGTATCCAATTCTTCTCATTAAGTGCTTATTCCTTAAATACTTTTTATCTAAATACAAATCTATACCCAAAACATCATTCTAAGTCATAAAGTTTCCACCTTTATGACTTTCCAAGGCTAGAAAAGGTCAAAAAGCTAAAACCCTAACTTAATAACCCATTAAGACATCATAACTCTTGCATGGAATGGATAGAAGGACCAAGATCACATTTTTATTGTTCTTAGCACCTAAAAACTTCTGAAAGGACAACTTTTTCTGGTTAGAGTAAGCCCTACTCATGAACAACAAGCTTATGGCACCAAAAGTGAACACAAACTCTAAGCTAGAAATATCTAAGCAAATAACTCATCAAGTTTCGAACTTTATACCTTCAAAGGATGCTTGAGGGTGAGACACTTCTGGATCCAAGATGCCTTAAGCCTCCAAGATGATTCCACTTCCTTCTTCTTCCTTCAAGAACACCAAAAATGCACTCTCAAGCTAAAAAATGCTCACACAATGGATTAGAGTTTTTAAGGGACAGTTTGGGAGATAGAGGTTGATGAAGGAAAAGGTCTTGAGGAGATAATGATGTTTAAATAGGGCTCAAACCCTAAAAATTAGGGTTTAACCCCCAGGCACATACACCCAACGTACTCTTGAGTACGCCCAACGTACTTCACAAACACGTGTTTCTTTTTAAATGGGCTAAGGGACCAATTTTGCAGCAAATTTCATACTAAAGGTTGAAATGGAAAAATACCTGACATCAAGGTGCTACATATAAAAAGATAATTATGAGATATATGGATTTTAATTATCATATATGAAATAAAAATATTATATAGCGATAATTAAATATTTTATAAAAGAGTTAAAGAAAAGATAAAACACCTAAGGTTAATGTGTTGGCGAGTTTTTATTATTCATCCTTAGCCTGATTAAATTCGACTACCTCAAACCTATAATCGTTAATCTTGCGTGAGCCAGAAAGATATGTATAGATCCATATAGGGCTGACATCCCCACCTGCGATTGCTAACTACAATCCTGGCAGGATAAATTTCTTTATATGCACATGTTATTCGACGTCGATGAAGCGTCCTCAGGGGAAAATATTAGTCAACGGCGTCGATTATGGGGGCTCATGGTAATACAAACCCGAAAACCTTAAGGAAATAAACTACCTAGAGGGACGCCTTCGAGTCGTGAACATTATAATATATTAGGATTGGTAAAATATCCTAAAAATTATTTTAAGTTCGGATTGGTAAAATATCTTAACAATGAAAGAAAAGTTTTTCTAAAAGAAAAATAATTCTTAATTAAAACAATCAAATAAAGCAGAAAACTATAAAAACCTGTGAACTCACCAACATTATGTTGATGTTTTCAAAATACATGTATTCTCAAGGAGACGGGTGTGGAGGATAGCCATACGGAGGAGGAGGTCGTCAAGAAAGTTTGCTGAAATTTTATTTCTGTTTAATTCTAGTTATGTTTAAGATGTGTGCTTGATCTAACAAACAATGTAACCCCTGAATTAATTATAATGAATAAAAGTATCATTTGTGTTATATTTTTGTGAATTGTTCAATATATCTGTTTGCCTCTATCCAAATCCTTACATCGCACAGCCCGACGTTTCTGTCATCGGCCGGTGGTGTGAAAGAAAGACTGTGGTTGGATCACAACACTGATAGGAAAGACCGTGATTGGATCACAACAACTTTATGAAAGAACATGGTTCCGCCCCTGGTAATGGAGTCAGGGCTAGGCCCGTATACTCCTTAGGGTTGGGCCTGTTACATGATATATGTATGTGGATAGGAGATTTGATTGTACGGCGCTAGATTCGAGATCTTATGTGGATGCATTGTATGTATGATGGAATATGTGGTATACTAGGGAACTCACTAAGCTTTATGCTTATAGTTGTGGATTAAACATTGTGCAAGTCATTCTTGAAAAGAGCTCGACGGGATTGTACACTCGCATCGAAGATGTTCATTTCCGCAGTTTGTAAATCTAACACTAATATTGTATGGTTTTAATCAAATGAATATTACTTGATGGTTTTTGAAACAACGGTTTTAATTGGTTATTATATTTTAAAATTAAAAAATCTCTTTGTAATTTCGGGACGTTACAAAGAAGGTCAACACTTAGACCAATTGACGTTTTGATTTTTAGATAAATAGGAGGGAAACACACATGAGTAGATCTAACAGGGTTTCCCTTTTCGTGAGCTTGAGGAGTTATAGTTTTACTATGAGACTCACTGTTTTAAAAATTACTTCATGTAAAATGGCAAAGCATGAGAAAGTGTGCATGGGTAATCAATATGTGTTTATGTTATTTGTGTTTGACACTTTTGGTTTCCTTGTGCTAGATGTTGTGGAGCTTCTCAGTAGATCCCAACGGATCCTGCATAGTAATTTTATGCACAAAATCTATAGATGTGGTTACACATGAATAAAAATACCGATTTCGAACCGATCCCGAAACTCATCTTGTAATTGGTATCTTGAAGATCGATATTGTAAGATTTTTACTTTCATTTTTCAACAGTTTAGAATAAGATTTTACAACAATTTAAGGTTCAGACTATTATTTATTATCGTTGTTTTATCTACAATCAAATTTCATCATAATTTAAATGTAGACCTTAAAAGGAAAACGTGAGGTGCATTTAGATTTGAATAAAATATTCATCCACGAAATCAAATACTCCCTCCGTCCCAAAATTATAGTCCATCTTTCCTTTTTGGTTTATCCCAAAATAATAGTCCACTTCTAAAAATAAATAACATTTTTACCAAAATACCCCTCATTATAACTTAACCAACTAAGCATTTAATGGAACATTAAATGCAAAGTAAGGACAAAACTGTCATTTTATTAAATAAAGTTAGTGGTAATTAATGATTTTCTTAATATGTGTGTTTTTTGTCTGTGGACAATAATATTGGGACAGAGGGAGTATTAAATAAAACAACATTTCTTAAAAAGGTTAAGGAGGAACGGACTTAAATATTATTAATTGACAAACTCATCTTGTAATTTACCTTTTTGTGAAACCTTTTTCAGAGAAGAAATACACTGATCCAGGATACTATATGAACATGCGTAGCGTGTGGTATATGTGTTTATTGTATTGTTGATATTAGAGAAAGGAAAAAGTAAACAAACCCGATTCCAAATCGTTTCTATCGACATAACTGGTCGAGTTAAAAAAAAAACAATTGTTTGTTTTCATTTTATGAACAAATATATTAAATATGATTAAAAAGATATATTTTCAAAATAACAATCTAATTTTATTTAAAAAAAATGATATGATTTTTATAAGTATTCATATGCATTTGAGCAACCTTCGGTCTTAAAATTTAAGTTTGAACTCAAATCTTCAAGGACAACCAACTAAAAATGTAAATAAGGACCAAAAAAAAATTGATTATGAATCATCGGTGTAGATACATCACCCAGGAGTTAGCATGTGTGCTGTTACTTTAGAATGTTTTATCTAAAGTCTTTTTACCACTAAACCACCCAAAAACTGGTTAAGTACGAAAAGATAAAGAAACACAATAATTATGTCTGATAGGAAACAGTTATAAAACAAACAAGCAATACAACACAAAAGATTTAAGGTACAAACAAACAGAGAAAGAAAACAAGAATTGTCCAAAATTGATCACCAAAGGAAGGACTTTTTTCAGCATTCCGAAATCCCAATTTTTTAGGCGGCACAGCTAGCATATTTCCTAATTTCGTACCTCTTTTTGTCATTTATATGTGTCGCTGTGGTCATTAATCTCATAATTGTGTTTATGTTCTTTCATCTAAGGACCTATTTTTTCAGGAGCAAACTTTTGATTTTTGATTTTTGATTTGGTCATTCTGTATTTCTGTTAATCAAGTTTGGAACTTCGGATTTGAGTTCATCATGTATTGGTTTCTTACAGTGATTGTGATGGTGGAACTCGAGGCTTTAAAAGGAACACAAATGGTTTTGGCCTTTGATGACGAATTCCATCCCAAATATGACATAAAACACAAAACATATTACCAAAATATACTGGCTTTTCTGTATATTGTCTTTAATTACATATTAAATACCAACTTCTGAGAAAAAAAAAAGTTTACTGCCAACATAGCTGATAGCTGATGAAAATGGTAAAAATGCTGAATAACACCTTTACCCATTTTCGGTTTTAACTTTTAACCCTACTACCAACACATAAAATATCTGAACCAACTTATCACCATATTTTTTTTTTTCAAATATTTTTTGTGGGAACAGAAAAAGCTTACAATCCGTGGTGAATTAGACTAAATTGTCGAGTATAATTTTAATTTTATTTTCCATAGTAAATAAGCGCACGCATGTTGAAAATGAACTTATTGAATTTTGGGTGTTTCCCTATAAATGATGAAATAATGAGATAATGACACGACTACAAGTACAAGTACAAGTACAAGTACAAGTACAACAAATGGTTTTGCTTACTTACCATCATGTATTGAATTGTCCATTTGCTGCTTGCTGCAACTTCCTTGTATCTCTCTCCTCTCTGCAGGCAGTAAAAGTTCCCATGTTTCAAACTTTGACTTAACCCACTTGCTGCTGGTGCCTGGTGCCTGACTGCCTAAGCCTAAAAAAAATGGCTGACTAAGTGTGTTTGCAACTACAAGTTGTTGATTAAGCTAAGCCCACTGAAGCCCATCAGAACCAAACTCTGAATTTGTGATGGGGGGTGTGTCACCAACACCAAGATCATTGTCGTCCATCACTTGGTTTTCTCCAGTGCCAATGCCGATGGGGTCCACGTATGGCTCCAGAAGATCGCTAGATCTCTCGGATGGAATACCATAATCTTTAAGAATGCATGATGACGCAGCTGATGAAGCCTCTCGCTCTAATACAGCAAGATAATTGTCTTCAAATTCGAATATCAAGTACTTCTCCTTGCATGCTGCCAGCCAACCAACATTTTCCATAAATTATAAAAAGATTTCAAATTTCTTTCTTTAGAGAGAATCAGAATCAACTCTACTCACAGTCAATAAGATGAGCAAGATGATGAATGTTCTTTATTCGGGTTCCATTGAACTTCAGAACCTGTCCAATCATTTTACACAACAAAACAAGCTTAATATTTCTGATACTAATAAAATACATACATACATACATACCTGTTCATTGCTCATATCCTCGTACCCAATGTTAACCTCATTTGCTAATACCTAAGTAAGTTGAATACATTAACATTACATGGTCAGGTCAACAGTTGAGTCGACACCGTTTGAATTTTGAAGAAAGAAAGGTTTTATATTCATAATCATATTTAATACCTACCTGTGACAAGATCACTATCTGTTCTCCTTTGAACCTTGCCATGGAATACCGTGCCTTTGTCAATAGTTTCAGCTAAAAAGAAAACAAACCACAAATCATCAACACTTCTAAACTCTAAACCAACCAACCAAAATTTCTTTTTACCCCTATGCTGTCTTCGCATTCCTCGCTGTCAGGATAAAAGATAAAAGCATTAGCAACTACTTGCTAGATAAAAAAGTATTTAGACTTTAGACTAATGAACTTATGAAAGGAAGGGAATAATAGTCTTACTCTATCAAAGGTTCTGACAAAGGAGTAAAAACTAAGCCAGCTACTATCAAGTATGATGGCTGACCGCCTTCAATATGATATGGTACCTATACACATACATACATACATACATACTCAATAACTCAATATTTACAAGTAAAAAAGATTTTCATATTAGAAGGTGATTTCGTTCAAATCCTACCAAATGAACTCGTGGATTCATAGCGGTTTTGACTTTCATGAAATCCCCTGCTCTGATGATACCAACCTCCGCCGTATCACCAGTGAACCTGCATTGCATGTGAGGTAGGTAGGGATATTATGATAATTACAATTTTAAAAAAATCACTGTAAATATGACAACAATAAATGGTCAAAAGCTTTACTTTTGACTAATGAGGTAGCGGAATGCAATGCGTTCGGTTGATCGGAATGGAACTGTCCCTTCTGATCCAACATCTACACCATCAAAGCTTACAATCACATCCCCCTAAAAAATAACAAAAACTGTAAAAAAAATAATGAAGTATGTTGAGCATCTCTTTATATGTAAATTGTAAACCAGAAAATATAATAATACCTCCTTCAAAACATTGCTGGCACCGGAAGTGGGTTCCACACGGCGGACAAGAACACCCTCATTAGATGGCACTTTCAAGCACGCACGTAAAGCTGGATTCTCTAATTTTTGCAATAATATTCCAAGGGAAGGGAAACCTGAAACAATGTGTATATATATATATATATATATATATATATATTTCATCAAATCAGTCCGATTAGTTAATGTATCTAACAACAGCATATGAATATGTTTGATTGAATTCAATATACATTCTCTCACCAGTGTACTTCCCGTTTCTCTCATAGTCATCCAGAAAGTGAGACACAACCGTTGTTGGAATTACATACCCAATGTTCTCAACATCATCAGACCTGTACACCTAAAAATACAAATATATAATTCCATTCCATTCCATTCATTTCAGAAGAAGAAGATCATAATTCATAAACATTACAGTGTTTGTTAGTTAGTTAGTTAGTTACCTGAAATGCCACACCGATGCATTCCCCCTGATCATTAAAAGCAGGACCACCGCTATTACCTACAAAATGGCTGGTATAAGCAGTGGTTACAGCAGGAAGAAACATGACATGAGTAAAATATGAGCTGACACATGATATGCCCTTACCAGGGTTAATTGCTGCATCAATTTGAATGCCCAACAGTTCAGCTGATCCATGAGCATAGGATGTAACCTGTCAGTCACAAACCAGCACTATTAGTCTATTACTTTTATACACATTTAGAAAACAGACTAGAATTTGAGAAAGTGGACAAACCTCTATTCGAGATACAACACCTTTGGTCACTGAAATGGTGTCTCCTCCAAGCGGATACCCTACAACAGTAACTGCATCCTGTTGAGGAAAATGCAAAATGCATAAACCAATTTTTTATTTTTTTCTATTTATAACAGGTGGGAAGTGGGAACTGGACAGGGATATTAACCTGAAGACGAGGCAAATGGCCAAACTGAAGTGGTTCGGCTCCTTTCCAGAATTTCTCATTTTCCACTGAAAGCAAAGCTATGTCACATTCCATACCTTTAGCTAAAACCTGTCAAGTACAAACATTTGTTAATAATAAAAACTATGTTGATTTGATGCCAAAGAATTACGACAATTCAATTTTAAAGTATACCTTAGCCACATACTTGGTATCATCACCCCTTCTCTTGACTTTGACCTGCAATATTAATATATTAACATTGGTTGACCTATTGAGTGAAATCAACAAACAGAACGCAACAAAGCTCCACTGATTATCAACATGATACAGTCATACAGAAATAAACAGTGTAAGTTTAAAAACTTACTTGTGTGTTGTGTTCCACACAGTGAGCATTTGTCAAAAGCTTTCCATCACCGATCATGAAAGCACTGCATCAACAATGACAAACAATCATTTTACTGTGGACATAGGAAATAATAATAGAAGTTTTCTTTTTCTCTCTAGGAAGGTATAGGGATCAATACATGCCTTCCTGTACTTGTAAACTGCCTTTGCTTTTGCCAAGGAAGAGAATAATCAGGTGCAGTATGAGTGCAATAAACCTGAAGGAAAGAAAGAAACAAACAATTTTAACTGACCATGGTCAGCAATGAGAACTACAAGGGTGTTCGCATACAGCCACATTATAAGATCAAAGATATCCTTAGTATCTTTCTCTGGTTAAAAAAAAAACAAAATCTATTTAATTAGATGCAGAAGCATAATATAAGAATTTATAGACAAAATGATAGGGTGTTAATATTCGTGAAGACTGAAGAGTTTGGTTTAAAATGGTTAGATTTACCTTCACAACAGCATTAAGAAAGGCAGCATCTTGAATTTTAGCAGTCTCAGCCTGGAAAGAAAAGTAAATTAGGGATTGTTTTACAGATAATGGGTCAAACAGTTGACCCTTGGATGATGTCCCCTTGACTCCCTACATTATCAGTAGAAGGAAAAGTATCAAATTATAAACTGGAATAAAATTTCTCAATACCTGTTGATCCGTCAAGTTACCCATAAAACCTTTAGCACTTTTTCTCTGTGTACCAAATGACTTGAAAGCTGTTGATTGAGGTTTTTCTGTTTTTTTAATACCACTGCGATTGTCAGCATCTGAATATTTTCTTTCATCTCTTGATCTTCTTGAAATTTTTTGAGAATTAGCTTCTTTCTGGATGAAAATACACCAAACAAATAAATAAGCATGCTCAACAACCAAGTCACTATAAGAAGCATATATAACTAAGGCAAATGTGTTCTTGAATTGGCTATATCACACAAGATTCTTTTGAGGAAGAAAAACAAAATCCGATCGCTCAAAAAATCCCACGCAGCTAAGAATCTTGTTCAAATGAGACCGTGTTGACTAGGAATTAAACCAGGTCTTCATCAGCTAATTCAGACAAACGCTATGAGCTGTAGGAAGATCCAAATATAGCATCACATGGCGTGTCAAGTGTCAACACTCAACTCAACACCGGCCATTGGATGATGAAAAAGGTTTAATCAGAAAAAAGAAAATTCTATAAACTAAAAACCAACGAATAATAGACCGCCTGTGACCTGGCCACCATGACAACGGAACTGACTGGAACAGCAATGAGTTACATTAAAAAAAAAAACTCAAACTGGATTTACACATACGTTACTAATGAGCTCACGATGTTCAATTACTTAATATACCTCAAGTGACGATTTGTGAGTATGTTCCTTGGGAGTTCTCTTCCTCGGACTTTGACTCTGACTAACAGCTTTCGGAATGACTAAACGAGTAGCCGGTATTTGTGACGCGGAGAACAGCCGTTGGGAAGAGACTGGATAGCGAGAAGTGCTGGTGGAGGCTAACGAATTAAACCAGCAAGACGCAACGGCTATCGCCATTTTTCACGTCGGCCCTAGGTTCAGGTCAGAGTCCGGAAAGAGAAACAGCGTCACTGTTGTAAAACTGGGAGATTCAATAACTTGAATTGCCTTATCCTCTCTTTTCAGTTCTCACTAAGTTTAAATGAAGTACTCAAATAGTCCCTTCGCTTTTACTTTTTACAAATTTAATACACATGCTTTTGTGCTACACGTATTTTGCACCAAATTATGACATTTATCTATTTAATTTTGGGATTTTCAATAACGCAAACTGCACCAAATAGCAACATACTTTATTATTTGGATGGATGCATAGGAAGGAAACATGCATATTGTGGATCTAATAGGTTTCAGTTGCAGGCTTGAAGATTAAGATTTCACTATGGGATATGCTATTTTAAAAGTCTCATCATTCAAAGTGACCAAAAATGAGAAAATGAATATGGAAACCCAACACATCTTTATATCATTCAGGTTTTACCATCCAGGGTTAACGGAAAACTTTGTTGCCCATTCGCCATTTGTCTTCCACCTTGATGTAAAAAATTTCTCTTTTTAGATTATAT